CTCTGAGGGTCTCCTTCCATTTCCATGCATTTTCCCTTCTCTCTCCCTTTCCCTCCCACCTCTCATCCCTGTTTAATGTTAATCTTCTTCTCATGCTCTTCGACCCTACTCTGTTCTTAGCTACTCTCCTTATATCAAAGAAGACATTTGACATTTGTTTTTTAGGGATTGGCTAGCTTCACTTAGCATAATCTGCTCTAATGCCATCCATTTCCCTGTAAATTCTATGATTTTGTCATTTTTTAATGCAGAGTAATACTCCATTGTGTATAAATGCCACATTTTTTTATCCATTCATCTATTGAAGGGCATCTAGGTTGGTTCCACAGTCTTGCTATTGTGAATTGTGCTGCTATGAACATCGATGTAGCAGTGTCCCTGTAGCATGCTCTTTTTAGGTCTTTAGGGAATAGACCGAGAAGGGGAATAGCTGGGTCAAATGGTGGCTCCATTCCCAGCTTTCCAAGAAATCTCTGGAGGACTTTTCTTGCCCAGGCGTGCTTGGACTTGAACTCTCTGAACCCTCTGAGAGCATCTTGCAGGAAGCAGAGTAATACAGTAATTAATAACGGGGAATTCTTTTAGCTGCTCTTGATTGCAAGCAATAGGAATCTAAATTCTGTTGGTTTATTAGTTGTTGTTGTTTATTTTACAGTGGTGGGGACCAAACTCAAGGCCTGGTGTGCGCTGTTGGGAATGTATTGACCCGGGTGATCAGAAAGTCCAGGAATGGATCAGGTTTCAGTTATAGTCTAATCTGGGGACTCATTTCCCTGTGGTTTTCTCAGCTCTGCCATCTGTGAATGGAGGACATAGAGGGGCGAGGTGGCGCAACAGTGACGCAGGTTTATTCATGACAAACCTGCGGAAGGGGCCCGGTGGAGACTGACACCTGTCTTCTACTCAGCCTGGGCCAGACACAGGGGCATGAGGGAGTGGAGAATTTTTGCAGTTGCACCATTGCTAGGAGATTGACCCAAAGGACGTCACCTCTATTCTGTGAGGTGCTCACTGTTCCATGTCGAAGCAGGTGTTTTCAGGGTTCCTGTCCCAGATAACCATGTCCCTAATTTGTAAGACAGTGAAGCCTTGTCTGGGGCTTAAGGTCAGGCTGAGTCAGAGTGACCACAAGGTGACTCTTATTCTAAGATATATTTCAAAATGGCGTTGCTGTGTCAGGTTCTGCCTAACGCTATCCACCATGATAGCTTCATTGGCAAAGTACCTACAGCAGTTCAAGGCCAGGTGACCTGTGACATCTACATTTCACACTAGTGCAAAACAACAAAGAACTTTACTCCCCACAACCATCAAACCAAACTAGCATTAATATTTTAGGTCAGCGGTGTTGTGTGTGTCTGAGTGTCCCCCATGAGCAGGGTCAGTCGTGGCTAAGAGCTCCATGCCTGGCCCCGGCAGACCTGTGTGTGCTCCTGAGCGAGGTAACTTGGGAAAGTTATTCAACCTCTCAAGCCTCAGTTTTCTCATCCACAAAGTGGATCTCAATACTGCCCACCTCCAAGAGTTGTTGAGAGAATGAAAGGAGCTCATGGATGTGAGGAGCTTAGCTCAGTGCCCATAGGGAACTGCTACACCGGTAGCCTGTGGAGGGCAGGTCTGTGTCTCGGTCTCTGCCACAGTTACCCCTGCACTTGCATACAGTAGGTGCTGCATAAACACTTACTGGAAGTCTTCAGTTCCCACTTTATTTCTTTCTTTTCGCAGTGCTGGGGTTGGAACCCAGGGCCTGTGCACGCCAGGCAAGTGCTGCATCCCCAGCTCTTGGCAGGTTTGAAGATGGAAGTTCTTTCTCCTCTTCACCACCATCTCCTCACCTCCCCAGAAAGAAATGCAGCCCCTCTACCTTAGCAAATGATTTAATGAGTGACTGGCAGGGAGGATGGGGAGGTGAGGGGTGAGGGGACGGAGCGGCAGTGGCACATGACTCATGAGCAGCAAAAAGCCAAGAGGAAACCAGCAAGAGGCTGTTCTGTGTTCCACCCTCCAGCCGTCAAGTTCAGCACCGCCCCAGTCATAGGATCAGTTGCCGTTGAGATGGGGACCAGCCAGTCGGTGTGCTTCCCACCTGTCTCAGGACCCCACCTTGTAGGCTGTGGGGATGTGATGGAGGGTCAGAGTCTCCAGGTAGGTGTCTGCAGACCCTCCCCTACACGTCTCCCCTGCTTCGGTCTGTGCTGGGTCTTTTTTTTTTTTTTAATATTTATTTTTTAGTTTTAGGTGGACACATATCTTTATTTTACATTTAAGTGGTGCTAAGGATCGAACCCAGTGCCTTGCGCATGCTAGGTGAGCGCTCTACCACTGAGCCACAACCCCAGCCCACTTTTTTAAAAAATTTTTATTTATTTATTTAATAATCTTTGTTTGTATGTGGTGCTGAGGATCGAACCCGGGCCGCACGCATGCCAGGCGAGCGCGCTACCGCTTGAGCCACATCCCCAGCCCCCCAGCCCCTTTTTTTTATCTTTTATTTGCATTTATTTTATCTGAGTTTATTCCTGTGCCATAGTTTTTGCTTCTTCATTTTTTTCTGGGATGCCTTTACTTTCTGTGCAACCTTCTCTTCTGGTTTAGAAACAGTTTGTTCCTTTTCAGTGAGGATCCTCTGGATGGGGCACGGAGCTCAGGTGTGGGTTAATCCAGACGTCTGTAAGGACAGCGGTGCACCTTAGGTGCTCTGTTCCATGGATATGTTCAAAGACCTGAGAATCTACATCTAAACCCTTGAGTTCAGTGTCACTCTCTGCATTTTTTAGCAGGTGCAACAAAAATTCAGCATTCTTTTTGGGCCACCGACCCTGTGTCCAGCCCTGTTTGGCCTGGACACACCTCCCAATTCCACCATTGTAACTCCGGAATGGTGCACATCGCTTCTTTAAAGTGACGCCTTGCGCAGGCTTGGTGGCTTTTCGGATATGCATACCCTTGATGGCCTATGTGGTTTCATGAATCTTCTTAAAGTGAACATGAAGATCTGAACCTCTTGATTTTGTGGGGTTTTCAGGGTCAAGAGAGTAGGGAACCATTTTCACAGATCATCTCAGGCCACTGAGAGGAGGAGCTGTGCTTGGTCTTCATGGTCACGGGTGAGAGTGCGCAGTTCCAGGTGGGGAAGCTGAGCTAGCGCTGGTCTGGATTTGGTTATCAGCCCCCAGGGCTGTCTTCCTCTTATCAAGTACCAGACACTTCCCATTTGACCTAGATGAAGTGTTCTTTCCTCAGCCAGAAGGAAAGGGGGGCGGGGCTCTAGCTCAGGGGGCAGCTCCCAGCTCCTCCCACCTGTCTTGAGGGCAGATGCCTGACCCACCCCAAAAGGTTTTCCATTTCATCCTTATGGGAGTTGGTGAGAGGAAGAAGAGTGAGCACATGCCATTGCCCTTGACTCCCCAACCTGGGTGCGAACTTGGTGGCCCTGTCTCTCCTGCCTCCATCTGCTCCTTCTGGACTTTCCTTCTACCAGTTTCTAGATTTGTTGGTTTGTTTTTTTGGCATCAGGGATTGAGCCCAGGGGTGATTTACCCCTGAGACACATCCCCAGCCCTTTTTACTTTTTATTTTGAGGCAGAGTCTCAGTGAGTTGCTTAGGGCTTCACTGAGTTACTGAGGGCCTCATTGAGTTGGTTTGAACTCGAGATCCTCCTGCCTCAGCCTCTCAAGTCGCTGGGATTATAGGCAGGTATCACCAAACGTGGCCAGTTTCTAGGTTTTTCTCTGCTGGCTCCTGGTTTCCTCGTGAGAGGCACCCACTTTTAGTAATCCCTCATTCAGCACAAGGGCAAATCTCCACTCCCATGGCTCCTCCAGGCCTGGGCTCAGGACCAAATTTAAATCTTTTTTAAATTTTATTTAATTATTTTTTAGGTGTAGATGGACACAACACAATGCCTTTATTTTTATGTGGTGCTGAGGATTGAACTGGGTCCCGCCCGTGCTAGGCGAGCACTCTACCGCTGAGGCACAATCCCAGCCCCAGATTTAAATCTTTTGATGTCCTAAGCACTAAGTATTTTGGCACCCCCCCAATGTCATTCAAAAATACCATGAGCTGTTTGAAATAACATTTTTCATGTATGCTAAATTCCTTTTTTTCTAAATGTAAAATTCGGGTGTGTCATTGAAGCTTAAGGTTCCCTGTGTCGATGCCCTGCCTGCCTGGTGCCCTAACGGGAGATCCAGAGGTGCCTGGGCTTCTTGCTCTGAGCAGCTGCTCTCTTCTTTCCTGCAGGGGAGCTTCTTTCGACTCTTCTACCCCTGCCAGGAGTCGGAGGAAACTGTGGAGCAGCCCCTGTGGATCCCCCGCCCTGAGTACTGCGCTGGCCTGGCCGATTACCTGCGGTTGAATAAGCGCTGGGTGGGGTTGCTGTTCAACCTGGCTATGGGTAAGGCTGGCCTCATGCTTTCCCAGCTGCTTGGTTATGTCCCTAGGCTGTCCAGCCCTTTTGCAGTGGGTGGGTGTGCAGAGCTTGGCCATTGAGTAGCGCTCTCCTGGGCTTTGAATCCAGGCTCTCTGATTTACTAGTCGTGGGGCTTGGGCATGTTCCCTGATCTGTCTGAATACCTGCCTTTGTGGGGTCACAGTGTGGGAGGTGTGGGGTCAGGTCAAAGCCTCTAGTGCAGTGCTTGGGATGCGGGATGCCTGCCTAGGTAGCGGGTCTGGCTGTTTGTCCAGCAGGTGCTCACTGCCAGCCATCCTGCAGGTTGGCCAAGCTTCGCTCTCGGGGAGCAGGGTCTTCTGCAGTTCTCCCTCCAGGCTCCCATCTTCTGGGCAGGGCCACACGAAATCATCCACTTCCCCCCAAGGATTGTCCCAGGTCCTCTGTCCACTCCTTGGCATCTCAAGGTTGCCAAGACTTGCTCAGCATTGTCCCCATGGATGATTTTTTTGTTTATTTTTTTTTTAAAGCGAGAGAAAGAGAGAGAAATTTTTTTTTTTAAAGATAAAGAGAGAGAGAATTTTTTTAATATTTATTTTTTAGTTTTCGGCAGACACAACATCTTTGTATGTGGTGCTGAGGATCCAACCCGGGCCGCACGCATGCCAGGCGAGCGCGCTACCGCTTGAGCCACATTCCCAGCCCCGATTTTTTTGTTTTCTTGCCATCTTTGCAGTTGAGCCCAGGGTCTTTCTTGCTCAGGTGGGTGCTCCACCATCTAACTACACCCCCAACCCCAGGCCTTTGATATATCTCCCCATTTTGCGGGGTACAAGGGATTGAACTCAAGGGCACTTGTCCACTGAGCCACATCCTCAGCCCTATTTTTGTATTTTATTTAGAGTCAGGGTCTCACTGAGTTGCTTAGTGCCTCACTTTTGCTGAGGCTGGCTTTGAACTCAAAATCCTCCTGCCTCAGCCTCCTGAGCCACTGGGATTACAGGCCCACTCCCATTTTTTTGTATTCCCTCTCCCTGGGGAAGAAAAGTGGAAAGCATAGGCTAGGTGATGATTGTCCTGGGATGCTCAGGGGTGGTTGGCAGGTTCCTCAGAGGGAGAGAACCCCTGCCTCTGCTGAGCTGCCCTCCTGGTGACAGCTCTGGGCAGCCAGGGATTCTATAGCCTGTGTCTCTGCTAGGATCTTGCCGCCTGCCTGTTAGCTGGAACGGCCCCTTTAAGACGAAGGACTCTGGATACCCCTTGATCATATTTTCCCATGGCCTTGGAGCCTTCAGGTAAGAACTTATATCCCTGTCTGGGGAGACTTTGCCTAGTGACAGCGACAGCTGCTGAGTCTCAACTTATTCTCAAAGGGCAGAAAGACAGGCATGTCCATCTGCTAGCCGTCTTAGCTCCGTCTGCTCCGTGCTGTAACTTTGGGTCCACCTCCTTTGGAGGACCCTTCCCAGGGCTGCTTTGTGCAGCCTCCACGTCCTTCAGGTCCGTGTTCCACATCTGCATAAAGGTGTGCTTTCACCCTCTGTTCCCGCCCAGAAGTGCTAGAACTTTATATTTGGACAGCCATTTACTCAACCTGTGTTGACTGCCTGCCCTGTGTGTGGCACTGGCATGTCAAGGAATGGGACAGGCTTAGCTCAAACCCCCGCCGTGCCACTTGTGCCCCATGTGACCTTGGGAAAGTTGGGTAACTCTCTGAGCCTAGATTTCCACACCTACCAAACGGGGATGCCACTCCCAACAGGTGGCTCGTTGAGGCCTTAGTTGGACGGGTGCCTCCTGGGTACACACTGGTGCCACTTCTCCTTTTCTTTTCTCTCTGGAGGGACATGGGGTGGCAGACTCCAAGACCTCTTCCACCAGACTCTCAGACATGATACCCACTGAGCATCGTTCCTGCGGGTTCTGCTTCCGCCCCACGGTGGGACCAGCTGAGCCTGTGATGTTTTCTGTGCTCATCATCAACTGTCCCAGAGCCTCACGCATCTCGCAGGTTTCCTCATCGCCAGACCCTTGGCCGCGCTCTAGCTAAGGAGGTGTTTTTGTTTTTGTTTTGTTTTTTCAGTATTGGCGATGGAACCCAGGGTCTCTCTACCCTTGAACTACATTCACAGCCCTTTTTTTTTTCCCTCAACCATCCCAGGTAACTTTATTTCTAATATTTTGCAGAGGCATGAGTTATTACAACAATATTAACTCTAATACTTTTTAAAAAACTTTTATTTTTATTTTATTTGTTTTTAGTCATACATGACAGCAGAATGTATTTTGACATATAATACATACATGGAATGTACATACATCAATCATGTAGTCTATTCTATTCTGCTGCTCTTCCTATCCCCCCTACTCCTTCTCTCCTCTCCCGTCCTTTCTCTCTATCCAATCTAATGTGACACACATTTTTTTTTTCTTTTTCTCATTACAACATCATATATATATTCTGTATAACAGTGAGGTTCTCCTTCCATCTTCCGTGCAACTCCCCTCTCCCTCTTTTTCCCTCCCACCTCTCTTCCCTATTTAGTGGTAGTCTTCTTCTCATGCTCTTCCTCCCTATCCCATTTTGAGCCACCCCCCTTATATCAGAGAAGACATTCAGCATTTGTTTTTAGGTATTGGCTAACTTTACTTAGCATAATCTGCTCTAATGCCATCCATTTGCCTGCAAATGCCATGATTTTGTTATTTTTTAGTACTGAGTAATATTCTATTGTGTATAAATGCCACATTTTTTAATCCATTCATCTATTGAAGGGCATCTAGGTTGGTTCCACATTCTAGCTATTGTGAATTGTGCTGCTATAAACATTGATGTGGCTGTGTCCCTGTAGTATGCTCTTCTTAGGTCTTTTGGGTATAGTCCGAGAAGGGGAATAGCTGGGTCAAATGGTGGTTCCATTCCCAGCTTTCCAAGGAATCTCCATACTCATACTGCTTTCCAAATTGGCTGCACCAATTTGCAGTCCCACCAGCAATGTATGAGTGTACCTTCCCCCCCCATCCTTGCCAGCACTTATTGTTGTTTGTCTTCATAATGGCTGCCATTCTTATTGGAGTGAGATGGTATCTTAGAATAGTTTTAATTTGCATTTCTCTGATTGCTAGAGATGGTGAGCATTTTTTCATGTATTTGTTGATTGGTTATATATTCTCTTCTGAGAAGTTTCTGTTCAAGTCCTTGGCCCATTTGTTGATTGGGTTATTTGCTTTTTTGTTGTTTAACTTTTTGAGTTCTTTGTATACTCTAGAGATTAGAACTCTATCTGATGTTTGAGGGGTAAAAATTTGTTCCCAGGATGTAGGCTCCCTATTCACCTCGAATATTATTTCTCTTGCTGAGAAAAAACTTTTTAGTTTGAATTCGTCCCATTTGTTGATTCTTGGTTTTAACTCTTGTGCTATAGGGTCTTATTAAGAAATTTGGGGCCTGCCCCCATGTGATGAAGGTTAGGGCCAACTTTATCTTCTATTAGATGTGGAGTCTCTGGTCTGATTCCTAGCTCCTTGATCCATTTTGAGTTGACTTTTGTGCATGGTGAGAGAAAGGGATTCAATTTCATTTTGTTGCATACGGATTTCCAGTTCTCCCAGCACCATTTGTTGAAGATGCTATCCTTTCTCCATTGTATGGTTTTAGCACAGCCCTTTAATATTTTTTATTTCAAGACAGTGTCCTGCTCAGTTGCCCAGACTGATTTGAACTTGGGATCCTGCCTCAGCCTCTGGAATAACTGAGATATGGATTCAGCCTCTGGAATAACTGAGATATGGATTGCGGACGTGGCTCTCCTCATCCCGCTGGGGAGATCTCTTTTGAAACCAGAAATTATCTTGTTATTCAGCACCTTGAATGGTGCCTGGTATGTTGAAGATGCTCGATAAGTATTTGTTGAATGAGTAAATGAATGTCCCTCCCCTAATTAGAACTTTTTTTTTTTTTTTGTACTAGGGATCGAACCCAAGGCACTTAACCACTGAGCCACATCCCCAGCCCATTTTTATATTTCATTTAGAGACAGGGTCTCACTGAGTTGCTAAGTACCTTGCTAATCTGCTGAGACTGGCTTTGAACTCAGCCTCCCCAGTTGCTGGGATTACTGGCATGCGCCACCATGCCTGGCCCCTAATTAGAATTTTTTAAAAGCTCTTTGAACTTAATTCGGTTCTTTACATGGTCTTACCTGGATGCAGGTCCAAGACAGTTTCCAGCCTCATGTCTTGCTATTTACCCATTCCAGCTCTCCAAACAAATTGGCCTTTCACTTAGTTAAAAAACACTTACTTACTGCCTGGGGGCCCTCGTCTGGTGTATTTTGAGGCCTTTCCCTCTGCCTAGAATCTTCTGGCTGTTCTGTTCTTCGTTTCCTCTTTCCCTGCTCCTTCTTTTGCCTGGCTAATTCCCAGTTACCTTCAGGGTCCTCGTTTAGAGGTCAGCTCCATAGGACACCCCTCCTGACCTGCACATTATCTGTGTACTTCTCAGTACTTGTCATAATTATGATGAACTTACTTATGTTAATTATTCTTTTTCTTTAAATATTTATTTTTTAGTTGTAGTTGGACACAATATCTTTATTTTATTTATTTATTTATTTTTATGTGGTGCTGAGGATCGAACCCAGGGCCTCGCATGTGCTAAGCGAGCGCTCTACCGCTGAGCCCCAGCCTCAGGCCCTGAGTTAATTATTCTTTAATGGCCGTCTTCCCTATTTCTAGATTGCAGGCTCGTGAAGGCAGAGACCTTGTCTGTGTCATTCCCAGTGCCTAGAAAACGATAGTCTCTAAAGAAATACTCATCCCGTGACTGCAAGGGCTATTTTGCTGGGTTCTCATTCATTCAGCAGACACCTGTGGGGCACCTGCTCTGTGCCAACTCCGTGGCACGAGGGGAAGGTTATTCCTAAATCAGGGATTGAATCCCCAAGAAGAGCTGGTATAGAGACTTAGCCTGGGCAGAAGTGGAGCATAGATGCAGAGGTGAGGCTGGCAAGGCAAGCAGGTAAACTGAGAGCCTGCCTCATGCCAGAGCTTGTGCCAGGTTGGGCATTGAGTAGTGAGTGAGAGTCTCTGCCCTCAGGGAAGCGGTGGTCAGGCCAGGAAAAGAAACTAAGAAACATTCCCTTCTGAGCCTACTATCCTGCTCTGGGAGAGTAGTGAGCACCTGACTTGGAAGGTGGTCCTTGGGGTCTAAGAATCTGTATTCAGATTTCACATCTCAGGGACCAGGCGGAGCCAGTTGTAAACACTCTTCATTAACCAGAGTGAAATTCCAAGGCAGGGCAGGGAGGGCCAGGGACATTGTTTCCTCTCCATTGCTGGTTATTTCGCTCTGAGGTCCTTTCTGTGGGCCACAGACCTGTGGCTTCCCACTCAGGGAGGAGCATGTGCGCTGAGGTGTGGGACAGGCAGGCCACTGTCACCAGGCCCCACGCAGTCCTCTGAAGTGGGCAGGCGGGGACATGGGCATGCAGGGACGCATGCTTGTTTTTTTTGTTTTGTTTTTGCAGTGCATGCATAGTAGGCAAGCACTGTACCACCCGGCTGCACCCCCAGCCCAGGGACACACACTCTGTACACTGAGCAGACGGGCTGTGAGTGGCAGGTTGGCCTAACGTTGCCGCCGCTACACAGTTCAAACTAGGAAGGCACCAGAAACCTCTCTGCCTCTGAGGTGCAGTTCCCTGCCTCCCCTGGGAAGGGGGGAAGGTGAACAGAGATCCAGGAAACTGATCTTGCTGTGTCAGTGAGGATTTGGACAAGTTGTGTGTAACAGAAAACCCCAAATAATAGAGACTAACACAAAATAAATTTTTTTTTTTTCTCTTCTGAGAGAGAAGAAAGCTAGCGGTAGACAGAGTGATATTGTAGTTCCTTGAAGTTATCGGAGAATCAGACTTATTTTATAATCTTGCTCTGCCCCTTGTGGCTTCCATTTCTAAAGTCCTCTCATGACCCAGGATGACTGCTTTAGTTCTAGCCATTAATCTGCATCCCAGGCAGGAGGAAGGAGCTTTATAAAGGAAATTTTATAGGAAGTTCTATGTAACACAACTTGTTTACATCTCATTGACTAGTCCTGCTCTGCCAATTATGGTAGCATCAAACTCTGTGTGCCTATTGAACTCTTGAAATGTGTCTGGGCCAATCAGGTAAGCTGCAAGTATGAAATGTATGCCCATTTCAAAGACTTAATATGAAAAAAATAAAGTAAGTAAGTTTCATTAACTTAAAAGATTTTTTATTATATATTATAATTATAATAGGTTAAATAGGTTATAATTTAATAAAACATAATAAAATTATTAAATATGATTAAACAATTAATATTTAATATAATTAAATAAGATATGATTAAAATATAATGGGTTATTATAGATTAAATAAAATGTGCAATTAAAGTTAGTATGTTTCTTTTTACTTCTGGAAATATGTCTATGAGAAAATTTTAAATTACTTATTGATTTAGCATTAAATTTCTGTTGCACTGTGCTGCATTAGAACTTTAACTACACAGACTAACAGCTATAAGGGAGGCTGGGAAATATAATACTTTGATGGCATAAAAGGGTCATTGGCCAAAAATCATTCTGTTATTGAGGAGAAAGGGAAAATAGGTGTTTGGGGTAGGCAGTTTGCGGAATCTGCCGTATTCCTTTTTTTCCTTCTCCTGGGCAGGTGGAAGACAGAAAAATCTGCATCTTAAGTCGTATTTAAATTGCATATAAAAGAAATGTGCATGCCTATGATCCCAGCCACTCAGGAGACTGAGGCAAGAGGATTGTGAGTTAAAGCCAGCCTCAGCAATTTAGCAAGCCCCTAAGCAATTCAGTGAGACCCTGTCTCAAAATTCAGAAGGGCTGGGGATGTGCTTCAGTGGTTAGGCACCCCTGAGTTCAATCCCTGGTACCAAAAAAAGAGTTTCTGTCTTCCAGGAGCTTAACAGCTAATTTGGGGGACATACAGTGTATGACAATAAAAATGCTATTGAAGTAGTCAAAATGTATTTGGGACATGGGGCTGGGCTCACGGAGGGTCCAAGGCCCTGTGGGTTGATTTGCAAACAGTGCCTGGAGGAGGAGGCAGAGCCTTGTGGGATGAGAACTGTGGGGCTTGGGAACAGTACCTGGAGGAGGGCTGCCCGCTGGGGCACTTGCTCTGCTTAATCCTTTGGGGTGGTCACTAGCAGAGCATGGCTGGAATGGGTGCAGTGGAGTGGGGTGAGCCCTGGGCCGTTCTTTTGATCCCTTCTCCTTATTCCTTTCTTTATCTCTAGGACGTTGTATTCAGCCTTCTGTATGGAGCTGGCCTCCCGTGGCTTTGTGGTTGCTGTGCCAGAGCACAGGTGAGGGATGACAGTCACCGTGAACTTTCCTGGAATGGGTGCCTGCAGTGAGCGAGGTATAGGCTAGTTCCCTATCAGTGTTTTCTTTTTTAGCCAGATGTGATAGCATACACCTAATCCCAGTGACTCAGGAGGCTGAGGCAGGAGGTTTGCAAGTTCAAGGCTAGCCTCAGCAACTTAGTGTGATTCTGTCTCAAAAAAATAAAAAGGGTTGGGGTGGTTAAGTGCCCTTGGGTTCAACCTCCAATACAAAAAAAAAAGTTTTTAGATTTTTGTTTTGATCTTTGCAGTGCTGGGGATCAAACCCAGTGTCTTGCACATGCTAGGCAAGTGTTCTATCACTGAGCTAATGTAGCATTATCCCCTGTGTATTATTTCTAATCCTCCCAACAATCATATAAGGCAGGCGTTATGCCCATTTTAAAGAGCAGAAAACCAAAGTTCTAAAATGTTAAATAACTTGCCAAAAGTGACACAGCTGAGCTGGTGTTCAAATCCTGGTCTGTCCAAAAATATGTCTTTTTCCTACTCTTCCTTGCATGCCTCAGACCCCTTCCCTACTAGCAAAAGGGGAGCCCACGTGACTTGGCTGAGAGGAGCTGGTCAAAGGGAGAAGTGAGTTCATGGTGTCTTCTGCCCTCTCCTCTACGGCGGGTGTATTTCAGAGACCAGTCAGCTTCGGCTACCTATTTCTGCAAGCAGGTCCCAGAGGAGAATCAGCCCACCAATGAGTCACTAGAGGAGGAATGGATCCCCTACCTTCAAATTGAGGAAGGGGAGAAGGAATTCCATGTTCGGAATCCCCAGGTAGGCGTGTGCGACCAGGGAAGGAGGGTTACTGAGCCTGTTTTCACTGTGTTGGTCAGCTCTCCGTCACTACAGTGAAATACCTGGGAAAATTAACTTGTAAGAGAAAAGGTTTATTTAGCTCATGGTTCTGAAGGTTCCAGTCAAAGATCAGGTGGACCCACTGCTTTGGGCCTTTAGTGGTGCTAGATGGCAATGCGGGGGGAGAGCAGACCCACCCACCTCGTGAGCCAGGAAGCAAAAGTGAGGAAGAGACTGGGGTCCTGCAAGTCCCCACCTCCTAAAGATTTCACCCCCTCCCAAAGTGCTCCTCTGGAGACCATCTTGAATACATAGACCTTTGGGGGATACTCACCCAGACTGTTGCTCTCAATAAACAATTCTTTTACTTTCTAAATCTTTACTCCCATCTTAGTGGGAATAAATGGGGTATTAATCAGGACTCTTAAAATTGCCAGTATCAGAAACCCAGCTTAAGTTTGCTTAAGCAAAAAAGGGAACTGATTGGCTCATATAAGCAGACTATAGGAAGAGTGAGACCACTGGAACCAGCTTCAGGCGCCATCAGTTCTTGCTCTCAGAGGAATTCACTGTCTCTGGCTCTCTGCCGTCGGGCTCATCTGCACACTGGCTTACTTGCTGAGGTTTGAACCACAGCCCTCTGCAGCTCTGAGCTTGCATATGTTCAGCTGTTTGGGGGCTGTTCCCTAGTCCCCTACACCTTGCCATGCTGGAGTTTGAAAAATCCTGGGAGAGGGAGTCCTAGCCTGCGGAGAAGTGCCAAAATGAAAGTTCCTACCAGAAATGCCTAGTTAGATTTGGGGTGGGATGGTCCTCGTCATCTCATCGGATCCTCCTGACAACCCTGTGGGCAGGCAGAATCAGAACGACAGGACTGATTGCCTTGTGCTGATGGGCGGTGCTCATGTGAGCTGCAAGGGCCCCGTGCTTGCTGAGTGTAGGGGGCAAACAAACCTTCCTTGCATTCTTCCTTGGTTGGCTCTGTAGATGAGATTCTTGCTGGATGGTTGTGGAATTTCCAGTTCCCACTAGTCTCTCTGTTGCAGGTGCATCAGCGCGTAGGAGAATGTGTGCGGGTATTGAGGATCATGCAGGAAGTCACTGCTGGGAGGACTGTCCTCAACATCTTGCCTGGAGGGTTGGATCTGATAACCTTGAAGGTATGGCAGCAGCTGGTGTGACCCAGAACTTCCTTGGTTACATGGAGCAAACCAAACTCACTATCTTAAACCAAAGAGAACTTACTGGCTCACATATCTAGCCAACTTTAGGCCAGTCCAGGGTCACACTGTCCTCAAAGCTCTTCTCTCCCTTCTGGTTGAACTTCTGTCTGTATGTGGGTGTCTTTCTTACCATAGTCCCTGCTTTTGCCAAGAAAGATGGTTGCTGGCAGTCCAGTCCTGTATCTCAACTCACTGCACCAGAATTGAAAAGAAAGGAGACTGAGTTTCCTGGCTGTGGCCCTTTGTGGGTCACATGCCCCTTCTGGACCAATCACTGAGTGTTCTGTCTGCCTGCTTCTGGGTGGGGACTTGAGCAGCAGGATGCAGGTTCCCACCAGGGCTGTGTGGACAGAGGAGGCGTGTTCATTCCCTCAGGGAGGATCTACTTCAGGCTGGCTCCTTCCTGTGAGGGACTCCCAGGAACCTCCAGGAGGTTACGCAACCATCCCTGCCATAGACTGGAGTGCCTAGGAAGGCACCTTCAGACCCCGCCATTCACCGCCCCTACCTGATTTCCTCAATAGCTCAGGCTTTATTCATGGAACCAAGAAATCACATAAAAGTATGAAGAAAAAAGAACAGTTCTTTTGGACATTTTGACATTGGTCCTTCCAGTTATTTTTAAAATGCATTAATACATACATGCGTATTTTTGTTTACTTATTTTTGATATAGGGAATTGAACCAGGGACACTTAACCACTGAGCTACATCCCCAGCCCTTTTTTGTTTTGAGACAGGTCTCGCTAAGTTGCTTAGGACCTCGCTAAGTTGCTTTGGGCCTTGCTAAGTTGTTGAGGCTGGCTTCAATCTTGTCATCCTCCTGCCTCAGCCTCACAAGTCTCTGGGATTACAGGCATGTGTCACCACACCCAGCTCATACATCATTTTTAAAACAATAATGTTATCATTTAAAACAAGTAGTTCTGTGGGCTTCCCCCGCCCCCACACACACTTAGCAAAACAATCTATCTTTTTGCGATAGTCAGTGGTTTGGGGTGGCATGATTTTTAGTGGCCATGCAATATTCCGTTGTAGGAGTAAGCACACCCCTATATTATTTCCTAGGTGAGCTCCTTACACCAACTTAGGAAGTCAGCATTGTTAACCTCTCCATATCAAAAGAAAACAGATTAGACAAGAGTACTCAGCTCAGTTGTAGAGTCAAACTTTAAACTGGAATTTTTTGACCCATAAACTATGCTGTGTGGCTCAAAACCTCTTTAAAAAAAAATCTCTCGTAAGCCTCTGGTAGTGTCCTCTGAGGAGAATCATCTTCCTGGATGGCCAGCAGTGAGGCAGGACCTAGAATCTGGAGGGTTTTACCAGTGCCTTGCTGTGTGTGGTCCCCCCCTCTAGAGAAGCAGCCTCTGAGCGCAGAGGTGCAGGTCTACCTGCCTGGGAACCTGAGGAAGGGCAGCCACGGCCCAGTTCAGTTATTTAAGAAGCAGCCTTTGGAAACACAGAATTAAAAAACATAAGTAATTTTCAACCATCAGACCAAGTAAAACTTGATTATTTCCTGTGTTGACACATTGGAGACGTAGTCATCCTCCTAAACGGCTGGTGATAGTAGGGACTGCCCCGAGGAGAGCCATTAGGTGTAGTTCTCAGCAGTACAGATGCATGTGTGCTTTGATCCTCCCATCTCCAGTTTTGGGACTTTATCCTGTAACACCTGCCCTCATGAAGTGTGCTAATGTGCAAGTTATTTCTTCCTGTACAGAGTGTAACAGCAAAAGATTGACATTGACGGTAGCTTAAATGTTTACCAGTGACAGAGATGGTTGATAGGCTCTGCAACCTGGTTGTATTGTTTGGATAATGCTCACTGCTACAGCACATAAACCCCATATCTCAGTGGCTTATACTATTGAAATTTATTTTTCTCCTATGTAAGTCTATGGGGTACCCCTGAGCAAGAGGTGAATCAGGGATCGAGGCTCCTTTTACCCTAGGATTCTACCATCTCATTTGTAAATCCCAGATTTGTTGTGTACATTAAGCCAACAGAATGGGAGAGGGCAAGGAGGTCCATCTGAGAGGGTTGGTGTGGACCAGCCTTGGGCATGGAGATAGCACTTCTGCTCACATTCTGTTGGCCAGAACTCAGTCGTGAGGCCTCATCTGACTGCTGGGAAATAGTCTAGCTGTGCGTCCAGGAACCGATTTGGTGGTTAGCCAGCTGTCTGTTCCATGGGGAAATAAAATGTAGCTGTAAGAAAGGTTGGGGAAGCTCTTTCTGTGCTGGAATTGCTACACAAAACAGCCTGATACTGAACCATTAGTATAAAAAGAGGGTGACGAATGAATTCCTGTTTGCTTATGCGTGCAGAAAATGTTAGCTGTCTGTGGGAGGAAGTGGGCAACCTGTGGAAAAGGCATGGGGAAGGGAGAGACCTCTCAGTACTTCTGGTTTTCGGAGGCACCTGAAGGTATTGACCTATCTTTTAAAAAGCTGAAAAGTCCACCCAACACAGTGGCCAAGCTGAAGGTGCTGAGTGAAGGGGAGGATTCCAGCAGGAAGCCTTTGGGTGAGGGAGCAGGCTTCAGGGCAGAGGCTGGGGCCACAAAGCCAGAGAAATGTCTGGCCCTCCTCAGCAGGCAGCTGCAGCAGTTTTTTTATATAAACATGCCCTGAAGGCTCATGGGGACAACCAGAAATAGATACTTCCAGATCATGTTAGAATGAACAGATTCTTCCTCTCTTCTTCTGGGCTTTGGATAAAAATCAGGACAGATACTCAAAGAGGAAGTAGAACCTGAGTGGGTGACTGCACAAACAGTCCTTGCTCCAGAGCAAAGTGGAGGTGCCACGGGAACACCCCCGTCCTCCCCTCAGTGTGGTTCAGGGATCCCCAGGACCTGTTCATAAGGCACTGGGGGACGGAGACAGATCTTATTCTCGCCATGCTCTAAACTGGCGAGCCAGTGTGGAACCTGACAACATATGTCCATTCACTTATTCACAGGTATTTTTTTGTAGTTGTACAAGGACAACATGCCTTTATTTATTTTATTTTTATGTGGTGCTAAGGATCAGTGCCTCACACGTCTGAGCTGCAGCCCCAGCCCCTATTCATAGGTATTTGAAAGTCTACCTGAGGCCGGATATTGGTAGGTTGGTAGATGGTAAGATTACAGAAATAAAGGTGAGATGAAGCATGGTCCTCAGAACTTCTGCCTGCAGCAGGCCGTTCATGCCCAGCACTGTCTGCCTGCCTCGTAGGCAAGAGGATCTTCTTTTTTTGGTGGTGTGGTGCTAGGATTGGACCCAGCGCCTCATCCACAGTAGGTGAGTGCTCTACCACTGGGTGACACTGCGCCTGCTCCAGCAGGAGGCCCAGTGTGGCTCTGGTGGCCTTCTCTGTGTCAAGCCTCCTCATCCCCTCAGTGGTTCTTCCTCTTGCTGTTGAGGAATTCCTTAAGGGGAAAAAAAAAGTCCCAAATTTCTGGCTTGGCTAAGTTCTGTGCTTCCCTCAGGGCAGCATTGACTTGAGCCGCGTGGCTGTGATGGGACATTCATTTGGAGGGGCCACAGCTGTTCTGGCTTTGGCCAAGGAAGCCCAGTTTCGGTGAGTTTCCCAGCGATGCCGTTGCTCTGGCTCATTCATTCACTGTTGTGCTCATGTATCAGGAAGTGAGTGCTATGTTCTAGGTGTGTGGGGCGGGGGCTGGATATTCAGTGGTTACCAGATCTCTGCCTTCCTGGAATTATGTAGCTGTAGGAGGGACAGCCTGATGCAGAAGCTAGCAGATAGGGAGGCGCCTAGCACCTGAGTGCAGTGAAGAACATGAAACAGGCTGTTGAGCTGGACATGAAACAGGCTTCTCTGAGAAAGAGACATAAACAAGACGAAAGGCAAAGAGGCCAGCCGTGCAAAGGTCCAGAGGAAAGTCCTCCCCACTAGTGGGAACGACTAAGCAAAGGCCCTGAGGTGGACACATGCTAACTGTATCAGAGTGGGCGGAGCGTAGTGAGGGACAGGCACCGAAGACAGGGGCGAGATGACAGGGCCTTTGGGCCAGGGGAGGGAAGCTTAGATTTTATTCTAAGTTCGAGGGGAGGCTAGTGAAAGATTTTAAACAAACAAACAAACAAAAAAATGCATCTTACTTTTAAAAAGTCTGTGGCTACTCTAGCTACTGTGCGAAGGATGGATGGTGTCAGGACCAGACTGAAAGCCAGAGGTGACTGTCAGCGTGAGCTGAGAAGTGAAGGATTTGCGTGAGGATGGAGGGAGCCGGATGAGAGAAGTGAATGAAACATGGGGTGCACTTTGAGTTTCAGGGTTGAGTGAAGGAGGGGAAGTGGAGACTTTCCTTTGGGTGTCCATCATTTGAGATGGAGAAGATCCAGGTTGGGGTGGTAACTAATCGTAGGGCCATGGTTTTGCCCTCGGCACTGAGGAGGTCTTCCTGACCTCCCCTGCCAGGCCGGCCCTGGGCTCTCCCAGCACCTTTCGAATCGGGGCACTGAGCTGAGTGCCCGCTGCCTTGCCTGTCAGTCTTCCCTGCTGGCCTGGGAGCTTCCTGAGACTCAAGCAGAACTCTGTGTCCAGAGCACAGGGTTAAGCACCCAGCAGACGCTCGGTGAGCACTGAATGGGTGAGTGGCTGACTGAAGTGCCATTGTGCATGACTGGAGTCAGTGCCCTGAGAGCAGGTCCAGAGATGGGGGTCTGGTCCTTGCTGTCGGAGAGGATCTTTGGTAACTGGTAAATCCAGTATCCTAACTGAGGGGCCTGGGCCCTGGTACCTCCTCCCTGGCTTCCTGAGTCTTTAGCCCACTGGAGGGAAGCACCCCACCCTCCCCCACCACCCTGACTCTTCTTTCTATGTGGCAGCTCCAAATATCTGGTCCTCTTCCAGATGTGCTGTGGCCTTGGATGCTTGGATGTTTCCTCTGGAGCGTGACTTTTACCCCAAGGCCGGGGGCCCTGTGTTCTTTATCAATGCCGAGAAATTCCAGACAGTGGAGAGCGTCAACTTGATGAAGAAGGTTTGCACCCAGCACAAGCAGTCCAGGATCATAACTGTCCTGTGAGTAAACCCCGTGGGCAGGACCTCATGTCCTCTCCATTGACTCCCTTAATTTCTTCTGGATTGTCTCATAGTATCTGGAATTAACAGAATACCCGAATAGCTCCTGAATTCCACAATCTTAATTCCTTTATAGTTTCTTCCCATCCCTCTTCTCCACTTAGCTCCACCTACAGGGATTTCTGCAGGAGTTGATCTGACTTTACGACAGGGTTTACCTGGTGCTTTCTGGTAGAAGAGCATTGTGGGATTGCGTGTTGGAGAGGCAGGGGTGTGAGTCTGGGTGGGTTCCAGAGATCTCCGTACCCTTCTTGGAGTTTTGTTGGGTCTTTTGGAGAGTGTCTGTGGGAGACCTTTGACCTTCATCCATTGGAAGTTCCTTAGCACTTGCATGAACATTCGAATCTACAGATGTCACTCTAAAGTGTTCTTTTCTGTGACCTTCTGTATTCCAGCCAAACCACCTTCTCTTCACCTTCACCTCCAGCACCATCAGTTGGTTTTCTCCTGGGAGCCACTTTTCAGGAAGCAAACAATTTCTGGTGACTTAAAGACAATTGACTGTATAGGAGGTGACGAGGACCTTTTCAGAGACAGGACTGAAACCGCCCTGACTTGATCCTGCCCTGCACGAGCCCAACAGCACACACATCAGGGGTCCCAATTCCCACTTCAGGAATGGGATGTGGCTGTGTGCCCAGACCTTCAGAGTCACTCGGTGGTTGGCATGTCCTGGCGCCAAGCCCCTGAACATCAGTCTGTTGACGGTCGGTGGCTTCTCCCCGGCCTGTCTTGGCCCAGGCTGTTCACTAGGACCAGCCCCTCCTCTTTCATTTTGGTTTCATGGCATTAGAGGGGACAGGACTGCTGGAATGTCTGTCCAGGCCAGACTCCAACATTTGTGACCACTGGGGAGAGGAGGGGAGGGAAGTTGGGACAGGGCGTGCAAAGGGGACTTCTGGCGGGTGTTACTTCTTAAACTGCGTGCTGGATACCCAAGTATATTATTCTATTTGTTTTTTTGCTCTCTTACCTTAAATAATGCATTTTTCACATTTAAAAAATTATTTATTTATTTTTAGTTGGACACAATACCTTTGTTTTATTCATTTATTTTTATATGATCCTGAGGATCGAACCCAGGGCCTCGCACGCGTTAGGTGAGTGCTTTGATGCTGAGCCACAACCCCAGCCCTTTTTTCACATTTTTATTGGTGCATATTGATGGGATTTGCTGTTGCATATTTGCACACACACAACATAGCAATATAGTGTGGCATTTTCTCCTTTCTGCCTCCTCCCTCCTAGACAGAGTTGCTGTGGAAATTATGCATGACGATGCATAGAAGCTTCTCAGACACACAGGTGCTCCGCGGGTGTGCCTCATCTCCAACCCTACCAATGCTTTCCTTTTCTTCTAGTGGTTCTGTTCATCGGAGTCAAACGGACTTTGCTTTTGTGACGGGCAACTTGCTTGTGAAATTCTTATCCACCCAAATCCGTGGGAGCTTGGACCCCTATCAAGGTCAGGAGATTATGGTGCGGGCCATGCTGGCCTTCCTGCAGAGGCATCTTGGTAAGAAGAGAGCTGGGGCCCAGGGGGCAGATGTGGGGTCCCTTAGAATTCACTGCAGCACAGTGATCAGTACAAACATGGCTGAGCCCCAAGACAAGGAGTTACATAACATTGAAGAAAAAGCACGCGCCTGGAGGTTGGGGGACCCCGAGTCTGGCTCTTACTGGTCATTCAGCTGAGCCTTGGTTCCTCACTGCTAGTGCGCTCACCTCTGCACTCCATCGCCACTGTCCTAACCCAGGCTTATCATCACTAATTTATCTGCATTGCGAGGGAGATTATGATAACTGAGCTAAATGCATGAAAGTTCTTTAAAGAAACCAAGCACGGAAGGATTGTGACTCATGACATAAGTCACTGTCAGCTAATTGGCAAGGCCTTTACGAGCTCTGGTCTCCTCCACCAGAGGGGCTGTCTTCCCCAGGGTGCCATCAAGCCCTCTCCGCCACTGGTAATATGAATGGTTATAAGGGTTGATTCTAGTCTTTTAGTTGGAAAGACTACAAGTTCACTATCTTACCTTGAGAAAAAAGTGAAATTCATGTAAGGGAGGGCGCCTGGGCCAAGGGGCTAGTGCAGTTACATGAGCCAACGTCACCTGCAGGACTGTCGTCTTGTCCCGTCTGTCTGGCCAGCTCAGCCTCTCTGACCTGTCCTCTCATGATGTCCACGTCTGTTCATCCAGGATGCCTTTTTCTTTCTTCCTGCTGTTTTTTCCTTGTGCTGATGGCGTCCGCTCGTTCATTCCACTCCTCCTACCCCTGGGTCTTTCCTTGTTGGCTCCCACTGCTCTCCGCCATGTTTTTAAAATGTCTTCATCAGTTTGATCGCATCAGCATATCTTTGCCTGCCAAGGCACATTGTTGGCCACTGTTCCACCTAGTCCAGGCGTTCCCAAATCAGGTGTCTGATTGGAGGCCACCACCACCTGCCATCAGAAGGGAGCCGGGCTCGGCTGGACTCTTAAGGTTTGAAGCGTTTTCTAAACAAAATGAAGCTTGCTCTTGATCTTGACGGGAGAAGAGAGCTCCCAGGCAGGGAAGGGACGAGAGTCCCATGGGCAGTGGTCTTGATCAGTTTTGAGAAGCTCTCTGGTGTACCTGGAGCTCAGGATAATGAATTGTTGAAATGTAGAGGTAGAGAAGCGGGCAGAGGGCAGATGTAGAGCCCATGCGTTTGCTGAATCAGTTTGGGATTTATCCCACAGGCTAGGAGGAGCCCTTGGTGGTTCTAAGCAGGAGAACGTCACAGTTAGACTTTTAACGTAGTCTGCCTGCTGGAGGCCAGGAGGGCAGGGGTGAGTTGAGAGGCAGCGAGCCCAGGTGGAAGGAGCTGGTAAGGTGGTGAGACGGCCTGGGCTGTTCGCTTGGCAAAGAGAAAAGCTTTTTTGGTGGCTGCTCAGTGTGTTGTCACATGGAAACTAAAATAGTCTGCAGGTGGCTCAGCTGCACCTCTAGCTCCTGAAAATACCATTCTGCTGATCCAGGATGTCACCTTCCAGGAAGAAGATGGCTGCTTGCTCTGTGTTCACTGTGCGCTCCTGTCTCCAGCTCCTCAGCCTTCCACCCACTCTCCTGGAGGACTGTTCACACCTTCCCCTTCCTTCCCAAACCCCTGGCACCTCTTGCCTCAGCCTGTCTCTCAGCTCAGCAACTTTGCCTCCCACTTCAAGGCGACTAGCACTTCCTCAGACCCCCGCAGCCCCTCCCCCGGGCCGGCTCTTCTGTCTGCTCAGGGTGGTCACAGCAGCAGCTTGTCCTCTACTTTAGATCATCCTTCTCTACTGGTTTATTTCATGCCAAAGTTTCTTCCTTAAAAACTAAAGAAATGGGGGAAAAAAAACCTGCCAGTTGCCATGACATATTCCTGTAACCCTAGTGACTTGGGTGCTGAGACAGATTGCAGCTTGAGGCCAGCCTGGGAGACATGAGACCCTGTCTCAAAATAAAAAATAAAGAAAGGCTGAGGACGTGGCTAAGTGGTAGCAAATCCCTGGGTTCAATCCTCAGGACCACAAGTTGAAGTAAAAAAAATAGAAACTGTGGGGCTGGGCTTGTGGCTCAGTGGTGGAGCACCTGCCCAGCATGTGTAAAGTCCTGGGTTCAGTCCCAACACTGCAAAACAAGCAGAAAAGAAAATTCTCGGACTGAGGATGTGGCTCAAGCGGTAGCGCGCTCGCCTGGCATGCGTGCGGTCCGGGTTCGATCCTCAGCACCACATACAAACAAAGGTGTTGTGTCCGCCGATAACTGGAAAATAAATATTAAAAATTCTCAAAAAAAAAAAAAAAAGAAAATTCTCCCGACTTCAGTATCCCCTCCAGTTATCACCCATTCCCTGTTCCCTCCAACTCTCAGAATGACATCTGTCTTTATTTGTCTAATTCCTTTCTTATTCTCATCTATCTTAAGCACAGTCCTCTCAGGCTTCTGCAGTGCAGTGCACCCCTTCATCAAAACTGCTGGGGTCAAGGTCCCCATGACCTTCACAATGTCAAATCCTTAGCCAGTTCCTGTTCCTCATCTCACTGCAACTCTGAGCAGCTCAGGGAGGGTTGATAACGCCCTCCGCTGCGGAGGGCTTGCTGCCTTTGCTTCTGGCGCTATAGATTGTCTCCTGTCTTGCTTCCCCCAGCCAGCCTTGCCACTTCCAGGGCTCAGTGCTTGGACCTTGGCTTAATATATTTTCAAAAAATGCCTGATGCTGAGACTTTATAAAGAAAAGAGATCTATTTAGCAGTTATAGTTAGCAGGTATATTTAACAGTTCTGGAGATTGAAGAGCATGGTGCCAGCTCCATCCTTACAGTTAGTTCTTAGGTCAAAGATTGTCACTTCTAGAAGATCTCTCATCCAGTCCCTCAGAAATGGGCTGGGGATGTGGTTCAGTGGTAGAACACTTAACCTAGTATATCTAAGGCCCTGGGTTCAATCCCTAGCACCCCCCACCAACAAAAAGGAATATATGTCACCAGTCCCACAGCCCCATCCTGTCTGTCACCTCTCACCTCAGTTACTGCCAGTCTCCAGCCTGTCCCTCTTTCCCCCCATTGAGTCTTTTCTTAACAGAGCAGCCAGAGTGGTCCTTTTAGGAAGTTAGTCGGATCTTGTCACTCCTTTGCTCTCAATCTAACAATGGCATTTCTCTGAGAGTCTCTCATTCCTTCTGGGCCTGTCTGATGTGACCGTCCTTCCTGGCCTCTGCTCCTACTGTTCTTCCCTTAGCCTACTTCACTCTCACCACATAAACCCTCAGTGTCAGGTACACTCCTGCCTCAGGGCCTTTGCATTGCTGCTCCCTCTGCCTGGAACATTCCTCCCTGATAGTCTCATGGCTCACTCCCACCTCCTTTAAGTCTCCACCTTGACTAACCTTTTTACATCACAGCACCCTCACCTCTGCCCTCAGCCTTGTCCCTCCCCACATACAGCACTTACTCCCTTTTTACATCCTCCATAATTTATTTTGTTTGAGTCTCTCTCTGCCCACTAGTTGATGAGCTCTCTAAAGACAGGGTTTCTGCCTCTTTTCTCTTGGATGTATTTTAAGCACTAAGAACAGAAGGTGGCACACAGTGGGTGTGTTCAATATTTTTTGAGTTAGTGACTATGTAGCGCTGATGTGTTGAGCAATTACTCCATGCCAGGCACTGGATACCCAAAGAGAAATGAAAATGGTCCCTCCCTTTGTCCCGGGTTCTGTTTGTCTTGATCGAGGCACCGTTTGCCCATTCAGCTGAACCCTCCTCCCTTGGCTAAAGAGCTTAGACCCTTTCTTTTTTAAATATTTTTTTAGTTGTAGATGGACAAAATATCTTTATTTATTTTTGTGTGGTGCTAAGATTTGAGCCCAGTGCCTCGCTTGCATGCAAGGCAAGTGATCTACCACTGAGCCACAACCCCAGTCCCAGACCCTTTCTTTTTTTTTCTGGTGCTGGGGATTGAACCCAGGTGTGCACTACCACTGAGCTACACCTCCAGCCCTTTGGATTTTTTTTTGAGATAGGGTCTCACTAAGTTGCTGAGGCTGGCCTTGAACTCGAGATCCTCCTGACTGTTCTTGCCACGTGAGGCCCCTCTGCACGTGATCCCAGGGCCGCCTCTGGAGTTAATGCTGCTTTGTGGTATTGCTACTCTGGTGTTAATGCTGCTTTATGGTATTGCTACTCTGTGGCTTCTGCCTGGGATGACGTGGTAGTTGCACCCAGTGGCCATGTACTAGGATCTCTTCTTGTTTAGCAACATCCCTGAGCCTGGAAGCCGACTTTCCATTTTCTCTGCCTTCCTGTCCTGGGTGTAAATTTTGTCTCCAGCTCTTATCAGCTGCAGCTGACCTTGGGCAAATCAGGTTAGCTTCTCAACTATAAAATAGGGCTAACAGTGGCACTTAGCCCATAGGGTGATTGTGAAACACCATTCCCTGGAACGGTTCTGCTTCAGGGTGTATTGCCAGCTGTTACATCATTACTGAGTTGCCACAGATTAAGTCAGTCATTTATAAAGGCACAGAGTGATCGTTACTGCTCCCACCGTCACAACCACCAGCCAGTCCGTCTGGTATCCCAGGTGCTCCTCTCTGGGATGACCCCCGAGTCCCCGAGAGCTCCTCTTTGGCCTCACTTTACAATGATTTGCCTAACCTTCCTCTTCTTTCCCCTTTCAGACCTGAAAGAGAACTATGATCAATGGAACGACCTCATCGAAGGCATTGGACCGTCCCTCATCCCGGGGGCTCCACACCATCTGTCTAGTCTGTAGGCTCAACTGGCCATTTGTAAAAGGTCACTCGAGCTGAGCTTCCCGGGGCCACCCATAGCCTGTCAGGAGGGGTCCACAGGACTCTCTTTCACTGACTGAGAGGATTAATCACCCTGCTGATTGGATAGCTGGGTTCTTTGATCTTGGACTTGTTGATCTTAAACTCACGTTGTGACAGGGATCATTAACTGATGGACAAAGTGATTCTGTGGGACCCTGATGGTGTGGGGAACAAGCAGTGGGGGGGTGGGGGGAGCGAGGGGAGAGCCGGGCCCCAGGCTGAGCCCTGTGGAGCCGGGAGGTGAAGACTCAGCCCCTACCCGGCCCAGCCTCCTGCCTCACCTTGGGCCAGTGCTGCTTCCTCTGTGGCAGAGCACAGAGGGAGACCTTCAGGGCTTCCTGCCTGCCTGGCACTTCCTCTCCCCGCCTCTCCACCTTCTCCCTCCCCAGGGCCACTTGGTGACACAGGCACTGTAGGTAATTTTCAAGGATACGGGCCATCACCAGATTTGCCATTTATTTTCAGTTTTTCTCATTGCGTGAAGCCTAGTTCTGGGCCTCAGTTATACCTCCAGCCCACGGAGGTGGGTGGTATTGTTCTGACAGGGAGAGTCTCTGCAGGACAAAGGGGTGCCTCAGAGTTCTGGGTGTTTGAGGGTTTTGCCAGGAAGCAAATGAGCAAGTTGGTTTGGGCAGAGAGGAGAGTAGTGCTGTCACCGTTAGCACAGGACTTGCCACAGAGGGAGGTAGTTTGGTCAGCTCAGACTCCGAGGCCACTCCTAGAGAAGTCTAGGATCAGCTCAGTTTTGCCTGTTACCTCAGATAACTTGAACCACCAACCTGCTCAGAAGCAGGGCGCTTTAGTGGTCTTTCTTCTTTGCCTCAGGATCTGAGGCAAAAAAAAAAAAAAGAAAAAAGATGAAATTTCCTTTCTGTTCCATTTATAATTTGAATGATATCGATACTCACGTTTGCCTAATGATAGATTTAGAATATTCTCTCTCTTTAATCTGCATTAGATCAAGAGGGGGAGCCATCTGGAAGTTACTCTTCCTTCTGTCTTTCTTTGTTCACTAACCACGTGGGCCCTGTGTACAAGTGTTTGTAAGGAAAGGAAGACTCCAAGTCATCTAGTTCATCAGCCTGCAACTCCACCTCCACCTTCACGGCTCCTAGCCTCTGTCCTGGGAGGGGACCCGGAGCAGGCAGGAGCAAAAGGGAAGGGCATCTACACAGTAGTCCAAGTCAAGGGTCACCAAGCAAGCTGGAGGCTGGGCACAGTGGTGCACGCCTGTAGTCCCATGGTCCAGGAGGCTGAGGCAGGAGGATCACGAGTTCAAAGCCAGCCTCAGCAACTTAGTAAGACCCTGTTTCAAAAAATAAAAAGGGCTGGGGATGTGGCTCAGGGGTCAAGTGCCCTTGGGTTCAATCCCTGCTATCAAAAAACAGAAAAGCACACTGGAGGATCTGTGAATTTCGTGGCACCCTAGGAGCATCAGGAGGATGTCATTAAGTCCCAGGGATCTGGAGCTATATAGCCTGGTTTGGAGTCCTGGCTCCAACATTGCTAACTGGGTGAATGAGCAGATTTTATTCTCTTCCCAGTCTCAGTTCCTGCATTTCTAAAGTGAGGGTCTGCACTATGAAGAGTTGGAAGGATTAAGTGAGGGGTACATTTAACCCCTGGGTTATTAAAATTTATGTTTCCTACTTTCCAAACACATGAGGGTTTTCTAGCTGTAGGTATTATTTTCTCAATCAATTGCTTTGTGGTTAGAGAAAATGACCCACATGGTTTACATCCTTCAGCATTTGTTGAAACTTGATTGTTGGCCATGTGTGAGGTGCATTTTGTAAATATTCGTGCTTGAAAAGACTGGATTCTTTATGTGATGACACGCTCTTCCTCAACAACGCATCATGGATTTCCTTTCACAAGAGCATATTCAGATACACGGTAGGGCCCTCCAGCCCCCACGTGGGGACCAGAGTCCCTCAGCACTTACAAGATGATCCCTGGACCAGCCCTAAGGAGTTACCACCCAAATGCAGTAGCACTTGAGACCCTGATTCTACCTGAGACCCATAAGTAATACAGGTATGTTTTGCAAAGCCCTCAACAGAAGGTCTGGGACCTCTCAGGAGAAAGGAATGGTTAGAAACGGGACCCTCTTCTCCATTCAGTTCAGCTATGACTCATTGGATTAGGTAGATTTTCCATCTAGGTTAAAATTACCCATTAAGCCACAGCATGTAATATTGACTCTTAGGAATGGGCATACCAAAGAGAACACCACTTCTTAGAGTGAACTGACCCATTTAATCTTTTAGAATTGTGTTAGGATAGACTGGATGATATGGTGCTAACAAGCAGCCCCCCCAAAAGCAATGAAAGTTCGTTTCTTGCCCTTGCTGCTTGTCCTCTGTGGGTCAGCTGTAGGCTCAGCTCAGTGTCATTTTTATCCTTATTCTGGGACCCAGGTGGATGAAGCACCTACCAGCTCCAAAAGCTTCTATCTAGAAGTGACACAGTTACCATTCGTGTATTGTAAGTCAGAGTCCATTATCTGGCCATTCATAGCACCTCCTGCCATTCCAAGAGAGCCCAGATATCAGGGACCAGGTCTCATGTCAGAGCGGAGGAGACCTCTGGTCTCTGGGTGGTGGGTGTATTTGCACCTGCCCTCCAGCTCCCAGCAGCTGTCCTTTTAGTCCTCTTGATGGCTTTTCAGAGTTTGCGTTCTCTCCTGTGGTCATGCTGCCAGTTGTCACTCTTCCAAGCCTTTAATGTGCCAGCCACTAGCAGCCTCCCTCTTCACATCAAATTTGTGACTCCTTATGTCCGTGGGCTGAGAAATCAGCCACGTTATTTGAAACTGTGCATCAAGGAAAGCTGGACAGTCACAGAGGCTTTAGGGACCCTTCTACAACCAAGCCTGTTTCCTGTAGCTCAGGGGCTTTGTGGTCCCTCTGACTGCCGGGGAGGGATATCACGAGGCCTTTTGTCATTTGTTCTGCTTTTGGGTTAGCTGTGTCCCATCACAGCCAGATGCAAAGGCCAAGTGTCACTGGCCATAGCTGTGTGGCAGAATGACAGTGATGATCACAGTAATCACAGCCAGTGTTTCTCGAGCCCTGCTGTGTGGCAGGGACTGCACTCGGTGCTCTGAATGCATCCTGTACTTCTCACCGTAACCCCACGAGGTCAGGGGCATGAGCTTCATCTTACGCACAAGGAAACAAGCTTAGAGAAGCGATTTCATGACCGGAGCAACAATTTGGCAAAAGTGGGTCTTGGCATCAAAATCCAAGCTTCCCGTCACTGAGTCATAGTAATAGTACCTAAGAGACATACCTGGTTTTGCACTTGCTTTGGTTTCTTCAGACTGTCAGAGTATGGGCAATAAAACTTCATGATAGATTGAAATGTCAGGATCTCTGGCAATGTCTATGGCCCATATTGAGTTTCAGTGATAACTTTAGTGCTATTGAAAAGGGGGTTGGGGAGAGAACTGAGCCTCATGAGAACTCTGTAAGTCAGAGTCCATCTTCTGGCCTGTTGGTTTGATAAACCTGGAATGCAGGATTAAGAATGTGGGCTTCAGGGCTGGGCTTGTGGCTCAGTGGTAGAGCACTTGCCTTGTACATGTGAGACACTGGATTCAATCCTCAGCACCACATATAAATAAATAAAGGTATTGTGTCCATCTACAACTAAAAAATTTTTTAAAGAATGTTGTCTTCAAACTAAGCATGGTGGTGCACATCTGTAATCCCAGTAACTCAGGAGGCTGAGGCAGAAGAATTGCAGGTTCACAGCCAGCTTCAGTAATTTGGTGAGGCCCTAAGCAACTTAGTGAGACCCTGTCTCAAAACGCTCGAGGCTGGGGATATGGCTCAAGCGGTAGCGCGCTCATCTGGCATGTGTGCGGCCTGGGTTCGATCCTCAGCACCACATACAAAGATGTTGTGTCCGCCGAAAACTAAAAAATAAAATATTAAAAAATTCTCTCTCTCTCTTAAAAAAAAAAAAAAAAAACTCTGGGATGTGGCTCAGAGCCCCTGGGGTTAAAGCCCCAGTACAAAAAAAAAAAAAAAAGGAACATGGTCTTCAAAGTCAGCCCACTCTAACACTGTTAGCCTGTCACTGAATGCTTCTTTATCAACTTAACGTGACTGTGTGTGTGTGTGGTGTTGGGGACTGAACCCAGGAGTGCTCTACACTGAGGTACATCTCCTGCCCCTTTTTGAGACAGGATCTTCCTAATTTGCAGAGGCTGACCTTGAACTTGCAATCCTCCTGCCTCAGCCTCCCAAGTAGCTAGAAATACCTGCTGTAAAATGCAAATCATAACAGTATCTCATCATATGATGTGATCATTAAACAAAGTAATGCATAATAATTACTCAGCATAGTGGCTGTATTAAGGGCTCAATATACATTCACTCTTACTAGTGTGGTTTCATTTGGTCCTCCTTACAGACCTGACAGGTTAAGTGTAATTTGCCCTAAATGGTCCCGCTGATCTTGGGTTAATTTCTCATTCTTGTATCTAAAGTTTCATGAAACCTTCTAACTGCCACTCAGTTGCTACCCTTGTGTTCTCCTGTCAGGTGGAGCTAGATGAAGAGAAACAGTTTCCCATTCTCTTTGTTCTGGTTTCCCTGCTTTAGACATCCAAAAATCTGCAGCCGTGTGTGGTGGTATACGCCTGTCATCCCAGTGTCTTGGGAGGCTGGGGCAGGAGGATCACAAGTTCAAAGCCAGCCTTAGCAACTAAGTGAGGCCCTAAGCAACTTAGTGAGACTTTGTCTAAAAAATAAAAAAGGGATGGGCATGACCAGTGTAAGGCCCTTGCTTAGCATCTGGATGGCCATCTTAAGTGACAGCCTCCATTTTAAGAAAAATTTTGCTTTCCATCCTTGGGCCTTTCTGAGAAAGGCTCACCACTCCCTCATACCAACCCCACCCTTAACCACCCGCATTGGGACTCACCAGGCTCTAATCCCTGAGCCTGCCCGATAAAAGTCCAGAACCCCAAACCTGTGTTGCCTCTCTGTCTTTGGAGAGATGGCCTTTATTTGTCACCTGTATCTCTACCTGGGCTCCATCTTTTGTTTCTCGCTTGCCTGTCTCTGGGTTCCTCGTTTTCCTTTCAACCAATGCGACTTGCCAAAATACGCTCTACTGTCATATATATATATATAAAGAACAAATAGCAAAAGGAAATTTGAGGAAGAGAAAAAAGGCTGGGGATGTGGCTCAGTGGTTAAGCGCCCCTGGGCTCAATCCTTGGTACCAAAAAAAAAAAAATCAGAATCCATACCTGGTTCCAGCCCTGCAGGTCCTCTGTCACCAGGGGCACGCCACACTCAGGTTCTGGTCTGGGTTTTAAGTCACATCTAATCATCCACGTGCATTTATGCACTAGGTACCCACAGAAGGGTCTGAAATGTCAACTGGGAGAAGTGGGAGAGGCTCTGTGTAGCGTGGCCAAAGGGGAGGACCAGGCCAGGAAGATGGTAGCAGAGGCCACATGTGTTGATTTTTGTCTGTCTGCTTCAAGCCTGGGGTCAGGGAGTGAGGTGCCTTGTGTCCTCAGGAGACATCCCCCAGCCTGGGAAGGGCCTCTGCACAGTCCCTCCCTCCCTGCAGCATCCCCTTCCTGCCGAGCTCTCTCCCGTTCACTCCCCTGGGTGTTCTCCAGCAGCTGGCCCTGAACTAACGCTTACAGGCTCTGCTGCCAGGTGGGCCTGGACACCGCCCTTGTGTAGAGTCCCAGCCCGGCGTGCCGGGCCACATTGGAGCCCTGAGCCCTGAGCTCCTTCCTCATTCCTTGTCACTTCACCTTCTCTTGCTCTGAGACCCTGTGTGTGTGTGTGACCCTGGACTTCAGCTTCCCTGTCTGT